ACAAATTTTAGGAATCCCATTTGTGTTGATTCTACCTCGCAGAGAGGTTTGATGACTAGAAAAATTTGACTCAGATGAAAGGTGATTTTGATTTTCTTTATTTATTTTAACTTTTACAGACTAGTGATGGTCTCCTCTCTTTCTTCCCCCATTTCTGCATACAAGAAACTGCATGGACCATCATACAACACAATGGCTCTGACTTAACCAGGGTCAGAAGCGCTAATCCAGAGAGCCCCTATGCTGGGTTTTTCGAGTATGTGGCCAGCATGGAGCAACTCCAGGCCACAATTAACCTTGCAGAACACTGTGAACAGGAGCTTACTTACTACTGCAAGAAGTCACGGCTTGTAAATAAGCAAGGTAAGTAAACTGAGGCATCCGCCGTGTTGCCCGTGTTACCTAATGCACTTCACTCAACCAGCTCCTATAGCTTTTAATTCTGCCAAGATGGTGGCATTTAGCTGCTGCAGGCGTATGATTCCTGTATACTTAGCAAACACATTACAGTCTGGAAGTCAATGAGATGCTTTTGCCTGAAGAAAAGAACAAGGTCAATTTACACTGAACTTTGTTTAAAGCCTTGATTGCTTTCCGAGTCTCTTCCTGGCCTTAATAGGATAACTGTGCAATAAAAGGCTTCTCTCTGATACTTGATGAATGCTCAGTGTTCATCCCTTAGAAAGGGCAAGTGACACATAAGATTTGTTTTATCATGGAAAAGAGCTAATAAAAATATGACTGTTTCCTGAAAATGACTATTCTGTGTGATACTTTTCCATGGATTGTTGGCAGTCAGCCTCGGGGGATTACTGAAAATTAGAATAGGCTGCAAGACACATAGCTCATCCCAGGGCTTCAAACCAGTTAGTTCTGGTTCTAACGCCTGCTGACAATTTGCATTTCCACCCCAGATATACTGAATTAGAATCTACATTTTAACAAAATCCTCAGGTGATTCTTATGTACAACTTCCTAGGAACTTGTTAGAAATGCAAATTCTCAGCATGGGTTTGAACTGGAACAAACCAATTTAAAGTCCTGGTTCATCCAGTAGCTCAAGTAGGAATCAGAAAACCATCTTAACTCTCTTCTTTATTCTATTTTTAATAGCTAATTCTGCCTTTGATTTTGTATTTTCTCTCCTTAAAACATCTCATTATGTCAGAATATCACTGCTCATCTCTGGTACCATGATTTCTGCTTTCATTATTTAATTCTTGAAATTACTACAAGAACTTTCAAACTGGCCTCCCAGCTTGCCATCTCTTCATATCTTCTAACCAACCAGTATGTAACCCAATATATTCATCTTTATAAAGAAAATTAACTTTCAAGAAATACCACTTCCATCATGACACTCTTCAATTTAAGAAGCTCTAGTGCCTTTCTAGGAGCCCTGGTGGTGCAGTGGTTAAAGCGCTTCGCTGCTAACCCAGAGGTTGGTGGTTCAAACTCATCAGCCACTCTGCAGAAGAAAGATGTGGCAGTCTGCTTCCATAAAGATTTACAGCCTTGGAAACCCTAC